TCGCGACGAAGAACACACATGAAAGATAATGAATTACGAGTAAATTAAACCGTCCGACTCTGAATAATAGCAGCGATTACATTTTATGTCGAGTTCTAACGACCGTCGCGATGATGACACCTGATTAAACATAACGGTTGATATAGCGTGTTTAAAAAATTACCACCGTATCCTCTGTGGCCTCTAGACAGTTTGAGTTACCGTAGTTCGTCACAGACACGGATATTTATAGTCTAATCTTATACAGGGGGAGTCTTTTAATATATCGGTTGAAAATAATGAAGAAAAAATATGCGTTAAACGAAGAAATGTTTCAAGCAAAAGTTGTTTGATTTCAAGAGGGATATAACATAGTGACTTTTAATTACCCTTAGACGGCGTCCTTGAGGTTATTTTCAAGTTAAATTTTTTTAAGTAAAATCATATAACTTTTTTTTTAACACGAATCGATTCCTCTATTCATTCTACGTACAAAAATATTGGTGCAGGATCATCGAAATATGAGTATTTCTCGAGATTTTCGTACTTCTTATTCTGATATTTTTCAGTACGAGATATGAAATGTCTCATAAAGTGTCCACTTTTCGATAAGGCCGCTTTAACATTTTTTTCATATAATAATATGAGAGAAATCGATTATTTATATTAATCATTGCACACATTGGTGCATCGATGTATTTGCCAAACGCAAATAAATTTTTCGAAGGTTTCTCTACGTTTGCTTATAGCGATCGATTCCACCTGTCATTGTACAAAAGTACAAAAGTGTCAGGGAACGTGTGAAAGTGTGAGAAAAACGCTGAAGTCGATGAAAACGCAGAGGGGAAACGACGCGTCGCATTACCGTGCGTCGTCGCGACAATCTTGGCAGGTCCTCGACCAGGCGACACATTTATCGTAGCTTAGCGAAGACAAGCAACATTTACCGGCTTGAGAAAAGTTCGACCGCGTCCCGTAAAATCCTTGCGTCCTGCGAAACCACGGGAATTTCAGGAGACCTTATAAAACGTCATAAACTTCAACGAAAGCCCGCCTCTTAAACTTCTGTGAAAGCGTCGGGTCCTTATGGAATTTGTATGAGACCTTAAAAATGCTTAATGATCTTGCGAAAAGCAATCGCGACCTCCGGATCATCGGGATGCCCATCCGAATGACCCGGCCCGCCGCAAACACTGTCTCTTTGTTGCATCAATCGTTAAATATAGATGTTCGAATAGGCTAATCATATTTACAAAGGTCTCGGCGAACGCCCACGAGTCTCTCTCTTTCTCTCGCCCGCGTCCGTGGGATCAATATTTATATTAACCCTTGGTACTTCAGAGGTGCTCCAGAGATTCTTAGTTGGCTTGAAACATTTCGGCATTTTGCTACCCGTGTGCCAATTGAATTTTACTAAATTATATATACTAAATTACTAAATAAAAAATAATCGATGAATACTCGTAAATCAATTTTGGACGATTATTTCGTAGACTGTTAAGACTCGAATTTCCAGAGGCTTTTAATTCCCCTTATCGCACTGTTATTTCTCCGTGTGTCTGTTCTTACTGATCGCTTGGTGTTATTTCTTTTAATTTAATAAACAATAAGTAGAAGCGAGGCATCGAATGTGATCTGAATATTGAAAATAAACACACCCATGTTTCTCGGCTATAAAGTATCGAATTCTGTCTATGATAGTACGTGAGCTTCTCCTATTATGCACCGTAAGAGCCTAAAAACAAAATGGTATGTTGGGCTTGGTGTTTCCCCTCCACTAATTAATAGTTCAAACAATAAATTAATAAGGTAATAGGATGAATTGTTTGCAAACCTGACTACACAACCAACTGTGAATAAATGAATTCTTTTCATTGAATTTGACAATATTTATAAGCAAACTGTCAACATCGCGCAAAAATCTGCAGTTAACGCGGCAACTAACGCGGCGGACAAAAACTGACATTTACTCGCGGCGTGCGATTACGCGCCGCGGCGCGTACGCAACGTTATCCCCGGGACGGCGGGTCCATCGATTTCTTCGGCTTCGATAATTCAATCGTTTGTCAACATTTGCCTGTTGAATGCGAGAGAGCGAGAGAGAGAGGAGGGGTGGACGGCCCTGTTAAATGGAAATCGAAATCGACGGGCCGTGCCCGCGTCTACGTGCGATCTCGTTGCGCAAGACCGGAATTCTCGATCGTGATTCACGATCGACTACGCCCACGCTCGCGCCGCTCGTGTTGTGCAAGCCGGCATGCAAATGCGTGTCACACTTACCGAGTTCCCCTGTGTTCCACTGACCTTAGTCTGCGCGAAATAATGCGCGAGCCGCCGAGATTTATAGCGCGCGGACGAGCGAGTCACGATTCGTTTCCAGCAGCTACGCAAATGCCTTTGCGCCGGACTGAATAACGTATAAAAATGGTTGAATGAACGCATGCCATTTTCCGAGGCGAGTGACGTGCGGTTTAATAGCGCGGAGTGACTGGGGAAAATCGCCGGCCGCGAGAGATCGAAGGAAGCGTACCTTCGTAATGAATCTTTTCTTCGACGCGCGTTGGAAACCAAAAGGGGAAGAATGAAGAACGAACTCTCGATTATTTTCGGGATATATTGCCGTGCGTATCGGAGCCGGTAAATTTATATATCTGTGTGACAATTACAACCACGTTTAAGGAGGATAAGGAAGTATGTGTGATTAAAGACTAAAATGTACCTTGAAAACGTATCGAAATGCCGGAGAGAAAAACATGCGTTGTAACAAATACCGGCTATCGTGTATTGGTACAGCAAGGGAGAACTGCTAAACAAATAATGAACAATCGTTAAAAGAATTTGTTATCGAAACAAATATAAAATGTGAAGATATTAAATAGGAGGCTAGAATACCACCTTCTTCTCTACTTGATTGAGAGGCTGAAAAATAGGTAATTACGTTTGATTCTAGCACCTTTTTTCTGCGCAGAATTTTATCGAACGACTATGAGTGGATTGAATTCCAATGAGAGAATCTTATGAGAATCACTCAAAGACGAATTCTCCTAGTGGACGTGCAGCTACGTTCCGAAGGGCGTCGAAGAAAACGTGTGTTGGAAGCATTTTGCAAACGAACGTACAATGGACGCGGTTCTAACAGATAGTAAGATCGCACGAGCGAGAAGAGTGAACGAAGGGTCGTCGGACTAATGAGGAGAAACTTTTCAATAAATAGGATAGGGTGATCAGTGTTTGCGTGAATTTCAAGTTAAGTTAGATTAAAGACAATGCGAGAACGCGGACATATTGGATTAGGTCGCCGTCGTGTTTAGGGCGAGGCCGACTAACTCATCGCGACGAAGTCGTGATCACGTTTCGCCCTACAAAACCGCCCCGTTACAAAAGGGTGTCAAAGTAAAGCCCGGGCATAATAGGGAGGGCCACTTTTCTTGATCCGTAGTATCGCCGGGCTTGGTTATGGCGCAGCAGGTGCGTCTCTATTGTTCTCCGTCCCCCTCCTCCCCTCCCCACAGTGGAGAGGAGAACAACGCTGTTATTTCGAATCGCTCTAGCGTTAATTTCATTGCCTTTCTTCCGCGGGATCACGTAGCTTTTCTAGCACCGGCCTTATCCCTTAGCGGCGGACTATCCTCTTCTACCCTGACTTTGTCCCGAGAGTCCCGGTTTCGTCTCCCCGTCGTTGTCGACGCGTCTCTTTCTCTCTTTCTTCCTTTCCCATCCCTATTTAATTAGTATTAGTTGCCAGCCCGTCGTACCTTCGGCGATAGCGCTAATAACGAAGCAATTAACCGCTGGAATGTGTCGCTCGTCTCCCCGTAATCGAGAGACATTTCCTCGCGACGTGTACACCTTCCCCTTTCTCTCTCTCTCTCTCTCTCTTTCGTTGCGAAACGACGCATGTTTTCATTTCTGCAATTTATACCGACGAGATACCGGCGCGCGCACGAATTGCACTCGTCGCGACTGCGACCGCAGCTAACCCCCTTTCGCGGAATTAGATAGAACTCTGTAATTTATTCACCGCCGCGCTTCGGAATTCTACAAAATAACGTTAAACACATCCCGAAGCGCGTTCGATCTTTGAGATCAAGTTCTTTAAATGGGCCGCTACTTCCGCACCGCGTTTGTCATATCTGCTGTTTTATTAAGCCCGATAATCTTTGTGCGCTGTCATTACGATAACTTGATATTTTCTCTCTTTCCTCCCGCGATGCAATTCCTTTTCAATTCCAAATGGACCGAAGATGACGAATTTGATAAAGGACGATAACGTAAAGACAATCTTCAAAATGTTATGTTAAACACTGACGCGATGATGTTACTCATTTTGTATTTCTTCGTACATATATACGAAATGTCTGGAAATTCTCATTTTCGCATGCGAAGTGTACAGAAAGATTTTTGATACCAAAGAAGTAACTTTTTCTTTTTAACAAAATCGCGTTCACTTAATAGTATCCGAGAAATAAGCGATTGAAAAAGTGGAGGTTTTTTCGCGAGTTAAGCTTCGGGCGAACGAATGAGTAACAAGATTATTTCCTCCGGTCAATTTCAGGTAGACTTGAAGGGAATTTTAATTTAAGGCTTTGAAAAATCTGTTACATTGAAAATTGAAAAACTACTGCAAATAATGACCTTTTAATGAAAATTCGACACATCTTGGCTGGATTGTCTGTTAAACATGATCAAACAGAGTAACAATTGCAATTATCTTATTCACATTCGTCACATCAACACGTAAAATCCGCATGTAAGGAATACAGAGTAGCGTGATCGTATCAGTCTTTACGTAACACAACATCTCAAGAATCGCCTCTGCGTTATCACCCCTGCTCATCAAGTCCGTCAACAGACGTAGCATCCCTTTAATAAGATTAGCGACTTCGATTTCAAACCCGACCGACAAACACGCCCTACGGCAGCAACGTCGGCTTCCCCCGTGCCGTCGAGATCGGGAAAAGTCGCGCCGCGGGACAAAGTACCGGCGTGATTACTGACGTGAGAAATGTAATTGCTTTCAGATCGTCACTGGTGATCCTCGTCGCGCTGTGCGCGACATGCGGCCGGGCGGACTTCTTCGGCGAGAGGAAGGGTGAGTGCTTCGCCTTCGCGAACTTCATTTCAGCGCTAATGGGTTCGCATGCTTCTCTCTTCCTCTTCCTCGCGGCGACAGCGACGGAGGGATTTCGCGAACCATTTGTACATCCCTGCTCTTCCGGGGTGTCTTACGCCGACGATCCCGCGCTGCTGTTGCAATATTCTCCCCCGGGGGGGGGGACGCTTCTTTCCGCGAGCGGCAGTTCGCGAAGCACGCGCGCGCGCGCCCGAATATTCAGCAGGTTTTTCGCCACGGCGGCGGCGATTCGCCTTACGTGACCGGTGATTTATTACTATGTTAAGTAAGGAACGTATTTAGTCAAGCGTTGAATAATGATATCGGGGACGATAAGAGCCGGCCGCGGACAAATCGTCGTGGACGATATGCATGAATTTGCACGCGCGACCCGACGCGCGTCACATATGGCCGATTTTAATTACACACGGCGGATGCAAACAGCGTCCTACATTAAAACGCGCTCCATAGTGAAATGTTAACGAGACCGTATATCAAGCGTACTTTATCGCTGCGCGCGCGCGGGTGCGCGCGAATGGAGCGCGTCGTGCTGTTTAATACTTCATGCACAATAGTGTATGCAATATTGAATATTTGCCCATATAATAATAATAATTGTAATAATAGTAATAACAATAATACGGGTATATTGAATATGTGGAGCTAATTTTCGATGGATAATGGTGCTTATCATCTTTCTCTCTCTCTCTTTCTCTCTCTCAGCATTCGCACGGGCGTATTAAAAATGCACTTTTGGGTTATCGGAGTCACGTTCGATCTTACGTTTTTCTCTCTTAATCGTTATCGCGTTTCGCTAAATACGCCGTCGGGAAGGGAGGGGGAGGGCTTTTTCAATTCACCGCACGATCCGATCGCCCGACACTCCCCTTTCGCGGCGAATCACTCGAGAACAGCGAATCGGACAATTTATACTGATGAACGGAAGTTCGTCGGTGTTACGTCGACGAAGTGATTTGTTTTTAGCCTTTACAACGCGCACTATTCGTCTCCGTTTCTCTTAGTTTGCCACGAAACGGGAGCGATCGATCGCATCTGGTTTTGTCTCTCTCTCTCTCTCTCTCTCTCTCTCTCTTTCTCTCTCTCTCTCTCTCTCTCTCTCTTTCTCGCTCTTTTTGTCTTTTTCGGAAAAGAGTTCACTGCATAGAGTCAGGCGGGTGTGGTTTTTAATCTCCTTGTCAGTCCGAGAGTCCCGTCCAACTCATTACATCACGGCTTCGCAAACTTTGCGATTGCGATTCAGCATTTTCTAATATTCCCCCTTCCCTGAGCTGCGACTCGTCACTAGGAATGTGACGCCACTGATATAATACTGATATCTTTAACACATCTCTTTTAATGTTTTTAGATTAACGTAAAAATTCTAGTGCAAAAGGTAAAAGTATTTTTACCACAGCAAGATTACTATGCGTAGGCGTACGAATCACTCATGTACAAAAGTAGCTTGTATACCAAACATTTCTCCCACTTTTTTCTATTTCCTCTAATTTTAAGTTCTTTCAACTTCCGATATCAGTATCAATATTTGTATTCCGATATTGATATCACTATCGGCATCGATACTCTTGACTAGACACCCATTTCAATACTAGTATCGATACTTTTATGGTGTCACAACATCCTTATTCGTCGATGACTTCGACGCGGCTCTCGCCCATTCGTGCACAATTTTACGCGTTCTTCTGAAAACTGAAACATCACGAGGGAGGGAGTAATTCAAGTTCGACGGAATATTCCAGGATGAAACTCGAGACTGTGCGGGCGTCGGGGAAACTAAATGTATTAAAGACAAAATAGAGCAGCTCGAAAGTTTCCGAGCGCGCATGCAGTTTGATCCCACCACTGTCTATCAGCAGACGCGACTGTGCGATGCGCCCGGGAGGTTCGCTGAATACTCAGAGCGGATTCCACGCTCTCGTCACGTTTCACTCTAATCTGCCAGTTTTATAAGGATACCCCGACGATTCCCAGAGGAATCTGCGGATTTTTCACTTCCCCTTCCTTCGCACCGGGGCGGTTGCTCACCTCCGCCAGTAGTAAAGCCAACGTATGGTCAGACATGCCGCGTAATCTCCCGCACGCCCCGTTCGCTCCGCTCAGAAACGTTTCCAATATCCCAGCGTCTCGCCGTGCCGTTACAACGCGAGAGATATCGGGGTCTCTCGATGGAAGGAGACAAATTTCCGACTCGGCGGTATCCAAGAGCAAGGCGAACCTCCCTGATCGCATTGTGCGCGACGAGGGACGACGATAACGCGACCAGAGGAAGAAACGCCGACTTCACCCGGATCAAGCGAGTTAAAGCGGTACTCCAACCTTGTTAGGTAGAGAAAATCGGTGTTTTTTAATACATATTTTAAAAGTCCGAAGTTTTAAGGAGATGCTGTAACCGTTGATGAATTTAATAAGCGTCGATAAACATCGAGGCGATCCTTGAAATGTTAGGTTATATAAACATTGTCACGATCACGCTACTCTGTATTCCTACGTACACATTATAGGTTTTACGTAAATATTCGTGCGATATAAATAAAATAAGAACGTATGTTACTCGGTTTTATCATACCTAACGGAGATTCTAACCAAGATATATAACATCTTTTCTACAAACTTTTCGTATCTTCTTATATACAATTTTTTATCTAAGCAATATTTACTCGACTGGTCGAGATTTCAATTTTTAAATTTTCCATCGTTTCCGTCACACATTAGATAACGCTCCGATTCATTTTCGCACATACTTTCGCTACGCAGAAGCATTTGTAATTCTGTGCGATCAATAAAACAGGAAAACATCAGTATTCCGACGGTAAAGTCGGCCTGTTTTTAGATCCAACAAGATAAAATACCCCTTTAAGGTGAGATATTGCCAAGCAAATTTCTCAATCTCTTTGTCGACAACAAGACGTGTCGAATTGAATCGCGTTTCTCTAGCGATAGCTGCGATATTATCAAGAGGTCTCTCGCGAAATTTTTCGTCGGCGTCGCTGTGAGAAACGTTAGAAGCGTCCGAGAAGGCGCGACGCGCCCGCCAATGGAAGGGTTCGTTTAATAAAGAGATATGTCTTTGAACGTAATTGGTCCATTGCCTTCCTTTTGAAATGCAATGATTATGCCGCATCGTTCGTCAGTCAGTTCTCGCGCACGGGGTTCTCATAACCCACCCCTCCCTCCTCGCCACGTCTTTCTCGGCGACGAGACGACGCCTCGCAAAACGCAAAGAAAATTTAATCTACCGTCCGGGCCGCTTTTATTAAGAATAATAAAACGGCGGGAAACGACGCTGCCACTTTGCCTCGTCGTAATAAGAACGAATTAGCGCGGGATTTTAGTTTGCGCTTACTCCCGCGTGACATATTAAAAAGTTCCTCATTCGCTCGCGTTACGTTCGTCCTCGCGTCGAAGAGTCACGGCGAGAAGTCGCTCGCGTCGTTTCCTTTTTTTTTCCACTCGTCTATCTTTCTATATATCTTCCCTCCCCCCCCCTCCCCCTCTTCGCGATTCCTCGAAAAGCGCACTCACTCATTCGTTCGTTCGTTCAACAGGAGATCGCGACAATTACAATCGGCGAATTGCTATCGAAGAATCGCTCTCGCTTCGGGGGTTTCGCGTTTCTCTTATCAAGGGCGGATACAGGAGGTGCAAGGGGGGCACCAGGAGGTGGCGATAGCGGGGCCGGTGGCACAGGATGGAGAAAGGAAGGGGCGGCCTCGGGACGAATAGCTCCCGCAGGATGCGAGATAACGCTGCTCATCCCGCAGCCTCATTTGTATCCACCCCGTTCCGTTTCCCGCGGAAACCGCTACTTTTTGCACCTACCGTCTACCTCGTCAATATTTAACGGTCGCTCGTCGATCAAGCACGATCGCGATGTAGAAATGAGAATTTTTCGGGCCGCCTGTCTCTCCCGTCGAGTCGCGCTTCTTATGGATCGCCCGCGTAAGTCCTCCACAAAGGGGATATATCGCGCCGGTGGATCTGACAGTTCGCGGAGAAGTTTCGCGACGCGATTCTACGTACACCGAGGGAACAAAATTTTATCCCGTTCAGATTATATTTACTAGATGCAAGTAAAATGATTACTCCGATACTTATTGGCAAATTTTTACTTTGATCAAGTAATGTCTATTTGATCGAAATATTTTCCAAGTAAATTATCCAAATGGAACATTTGGCTGCGATAAAATTTATTCTAAGTTTTACTGAAAAATTCATTTAAGCAGACATTTCCAAATAAAAATTTGCCAAGGAATAATTATTTATTTGAATCTAGCATTTTTTCTGTATAGAGGTGGAAACACAACTGATTATATAGAGTGTCCTATTTTAATTGAAAGTTTCATACCTCTTAACGCCGTACGAACAGAAAGTTTCAAAGTCAAAAGTTGGTCTGAAGAGGAAAAAAGATGACCTTGAATTTATCAAAAGTGATCGATTTCAAGATTGTCTTAAAGTTAATTTTATTTTTTTAATGGTAGCTTATATTTTTAAAAACAACACCAATTACTTTTCTTCACAAACACAGCGCTTGCATCTTTTCTATCATAAATCTTCGGTTATATTCAATATTTTTATCTTCGATTTTATACGGTATTATTCAAAACGATGACTGGTAGTAATGGTATCATTTTACATGACACTAGACACTGTAGTGTAGTGTCCGCCGCGCGCAATTAACTACTTCTTCTCGTGGAAGATCAATGCGATTTACGTCTAAGCATACACTACGTAATGTGACGCTTTGTGTGCGTCCAAAATGTACGTTGACCGTTGCGCGTTGACATCCCACGACGTCCGATTGTCAAGGTAAACATCCGTCCTACGTCCAGCCTCCTCCTCAGTCTCTGCAGTATCCGGCATCGATCGTACTTTATTCGCGACCGTGATAATACTTTTCGGCGTTGAACGGTTTAACGAAAAACACGTGATAAATGACAACGCCTTGAGAATACACTCACGAA